CATTTCATCAATCCTGTCTTCTGAAGTTCTCTTCAGGAGAAGTATTGTAGATAGTAATCCATAGTTAAAACAGATAGAAAATTGATATGTTAGTATGGATCACAAGATGAAGGGTTGGTATTTAGAAATGTACAATTATTAGCAATGTATCTTTGTTTATATTGACACAATTTGTGATTATTTGAAAACCAAGATATGTTATTCAACACTCAAATTACTCCATGCTGCTATGCTTCATTTTTAGTGTGTATGCAAAGTTATGTTTTTGATGATTGCTACTCAAAGATGAGACAAGGCCTTCTATCCTAGAGAGAAATCAATTTATATTTATTCTCCATTAGGAGATTAAGGACACAGTGATGTAGCATGTACACTGAACATTTAAATGGAGGTGTTAGTCATTAATGTTGTATCTTTATAGTATCAACAGATGTCATGAAACATATTTGAACATGTTTCAAATAAAGATACCTCTGATACCTTAGAAATGTATGGAAACCCTTCTCAGAAAAGTCATGTAATTAGTGTACATCTTGTTTCATTCGTAAATAATTAGCCTCCACTTTGTAACTGTAGAAATCACAGTTCTGAGATCATTGTATCAGAGAAATGAATATCATTGTTTATGCTTGTAATCTGTATTTAAGCAGTTACACAGTGGATTGGAAAAGGTTTTATTCTGACTTTGTGTGATATTACATGTTAATAAAACCGATGCTTTCTTGTGATAAAGTTGGTGAGTAATGAATGAAGTGTCAACCTACTGATTTAAGATTGCAGGGAAGAATACCTAACAATAAAATCTTTGTTAGCGCAGAGGGATGATATCTGTAACAATTAGTTTCCTTACTGCCTTTAAGCCTCAAATAATTGGATATTTACCATCATTTCTCCATTGTACTTCCCCCCTCTGTAACTGCTGGGACATTGTGATGGTTCCAATAAGGATTATACAGAGTACTGTTGAGAGCTTACCTGAACTGCCCCATGCTGTTGCTGCCTCAGCATCTGTCTGGGGACCAGCATCTGCAGGTCCTTGAACTCACGCCAGCCAATCCTGTGAGCACCTGCTCTAGACAACCACCCACCTTGTGATCAGCAGTCTTGCTGAACCCCAGGTTCTACTTCACAGCCCCCCCTTCAATGACACCCTCACAGTGCTTACCAGATTCCTGCTCCTCTTGGTTTGAATAGACCAATCCACAGTCAGCCTGGGGAGCCCACAGCACTTCACCCAGGGTCTCTTATAAAGGCCTGAACCCCAAGTACTGGAGCATTCTCTGCTTGGTCCTAACCTTGACCTAAGAAATTCCTGCCCTAAACCCTCCTCTCCTGAGAGGTCTCAGCTGTGCTGACTGTGAGGGCTGAAGCTCAGTGCTCCTGAGTGTGGGTCTTCGGGTAGAAGCATCAGAACAAAGGGAATTTGCTAAAGACTCATTTCATGGCCCCACTTCAGACCTGCAGATTCATAACTTCTTAGAGTGGGGACCTGACCTCTAGGGAGTCATATTCACTGAAATGGTTCAGGAAGAATCTTTTAAGTGGTTTCAACCTGGTTTCCTATCAAGATCACATGACCAGTGTTAAGTGATAACCTCCCCAGCGCCCTCCCCACAGAGTTCTCTCGGTCCTGTGGGAGCATCAGTGTGGTGTGTAGGATGTGCTCCAGGGGATTCTAAGGGGAGGCCCGGGTTAAGGACGCGGCTCCTGGTCCATTTGTGAGAGCTGAGGCCCGGCGTCAGTCCGCGGAGAGGCCGCAGGGTTCGTCTAGCTGGATTTGGACCGGGGAAGTCAACTCACATCATCTGTGTGAGCAGAGGGTTAGGAACTCTCTATGGGGAGAGAACAATCAAGAAATAGGTCCATAGGCTGGTCTCCAGGTAGGAAGTGATTGTTCCTGAATCTCTCCTGAGAGAGGACAGCAGAGGTGGGTCTTTTCAGCTTTTCAAGGTCCTTTTGTCTGTAGGTGAAGTAGTTGCAGATTAAAGAGCTATGAGGATGCCTTTGAAGGTATTTTCTCAAGATGCAGAAGTGTGTTTGCAGCCTAACATCTCCAGAGAAGATGCAGAGCAGAAGGCAGAAGAGGAGGAAATGGCAGCTTCTCAGGTACATGTCCTGTCCTGGGTTTGGGGCTGTGTCTGCTTTTCTTTCTGAAATGCCTGGACTGCGACTCTGCAAACCTTTAGTTCTCTGCTTCTAATTTTTCTGCCTGGGTGTTTGTTATCAACTTCTTTATTTTTTCCTTTTCTTCTTATCATAGTGAAGCCTGGCTCTTTAGACCACTTCTCCCTTGTGTCCCAGAATCTTGTCTCCCTTGTCTGTATCCTGGCTTTCTATGGAGCATGATGAATTCTCAGCATGAATTAGCAACTTTCAACTGGTGAATATATCCCTTTGTGAGAGATAAACACGGAGAGGCACTGGTATCCGAGATTCCCACTGGGATGTGGTTCGGTGTTGGGATCTTAGGGAACTAAGGGAAATGCCATGATGAGTTTACGTGTGGATGCAATTTCAGCTCTTTAGGAGTTAGAAAATGCCCTTATATATTGAATAAACTCAGTGATCCAGAATTTTTTAAGAAAATGCTCAGAAATAAAAAGAAAACTAGGAGATATTGTCCTCTCTAATGCTAAGACTTACTATTAAACACATTGTTAGGATACAAAATGGAGGAAGTATATGTGAAATGAATTTTGCATAAAACTGATATTTTGTCTATGTTAGGTTCAAGTTATAATTTCCTTATTTTTTCCGAAATGCCCAGGTTCTGATAGTACATCTTCCGTGTGATCCATTTACACCATGACAAAGGATGTTCACTGTCTCTGGTAATTTCTCTGAGATTATCAGGCTATAAAG